CTGATCCAACTATGGGCTACGACACACACACACTAACATCTAGCAAGAGTCAGATGCCATATAGATAGGGCCTCCCGGTAGTAAAAGCATACTGTCACGATGGCATATAGCGACAAGAGCGGGGGAACGTAGACATGAAATGCCCGCTATCATCTTTCCACCAAACAAAAAAATTATATTTGTAATCGCAAACACCAACACCACTACCATCGGTAAAGTCAGAAAAATTATCAATACCAAAACCACCACTAGCACGATAGTAATACCCATAGTCCTGGACAGACTTAATCGTTGGTCATCCGATGTCAGCAACAGGCAAGAAAATGAGAAATTAGATAAACAGAACCAATACTTCTCCATAGTAGGTCCAGTGAAATTAAAATTGGCCTTGCAATCAACGTAGTTCTGAAAAATGCTCGCATAGCGTCAACAGTTGTGGCGAAATAACGTAACGAAAAGAACAACAACTCTTCTAAAGTTGCTGAATGTAGAAGAAGCTGAAACGACCCAAGATTAGAATGCCAAGGAATAACACTACCAATGCCCAACTGCTTGCCCCGTGTCCTCACAGTGAGTGCATGATCAGGACTCACACTAGCCTCCTGGGAGGCTTGTTTGGTTTCGCACACAACATTTGTATCCATGCTAAGCCAAAAAACATCTCAAATGCTGACTAACGCCTTTGGAACCCTGTTTTGCCTGTGGATTACATTAGTTGGACACCTTCCGTCTACCTCAGCAGAGCGGATACTGCCTCTCGAATCACTCGCGACCACATTCCCACCTCTCAGAAACTACGATCCCCTACTTGGTCCGACTAAGCCCAAATATGAGCAGACCACGCCGGTTAGTGTACAACTGTGGCGACCTTGGCTTTAAATCTGGACACATTGGATGGAGCATTTGATGTAGCTACCACAAAATCTGGGTCTACGCATGCTACTGCCAGTTATCCAAAATATTCGAATAACTGAAAAACTCATCTGACAGAAACTTAGAACGAGAGAAAAATAAATGCAGAAACGCAGGTCTTCGAAAAGTCCCCGAGGACCTACCTGGCAGACTTTTCGCGGTGGCACACGTTCGACCAGGAATTTTATCAGCGGCTTTGAATAGGTTTCGATAAGACGTTCACACTGAAACGTGTTAAAAGCTTTGTTAAAAAAGTGTCAAAAACAAAAAAAAAAGGATAAAACAGGGGACCACTGGTTTACGAAGTTGTAGTTTTTTTTAGTTTCGAAAGTTCCCGTTGAAAAATTCGAAAGATCATTTGGCTAGCAGACGTTTGCTTTCGCTAAATTCTCTTCTGGTCTTTGTATTTTAATTGTTAGATAACGAAGTAGAATATGCGGGTTAGTAGAAAAAAAATCGTGCGGTTTTCGGGGTTGGGGAAAAAATTTGGGTCACTAATCTGATCAGCGTCAAGGGGTACTGGCCGCCGGGAAAGATAACTCGCTGCGGGCGATTTAATTATCGACTTTCGGCTATGATAACTGTAGCATCTTTACGAAGTGTTTTTGGGCGCACAGGACCGGTTTGCGTAATCCGACTGCAGTCGCGTCTGTCGTAGCCAACAGACGCTGTGCAAGGAATTTTGAACAGCTTGCGGGGACCTTGTAAGTCACTCGAAAAGCCTTTCTGACATTTACGCAATGATCTACGTCTAGCGTGTGCGCGAGAATAGAGATGTTCGTATTCTTTATTGGGCCCTTTCCTGACCATGCTGGAAGCTGTTCTCGTATTCAATTGGGAAAAGGGCGGCTCGTGCCACCAATAGATTCCGCCCCACCGGAACAGATAATTGAATAAATGCACATAAAGGTGGTCTCGGCTGGTAGTTTTTCC